TGTGTGTTTGTGAATGTTTTCGGGCCTTACCCCTTTCCCACCCCCCCCCCCACCCTCCCACCTTCTCCTCTACCTTCCCACCATCACCAACCCTTCCCTTCCGCAGAGGAAGCCTGCCATCCAAACAGGCCTGGAGATCAAAAGCCTGGGGGTGTGGCCCGGACCCCGGCACTTGGCCGGTGAGGTCGGAGAGAGGCAGCCAAAACCCCTCCCCCTTGGCCTGTACTGCCTGTACAGGGGCCTTGTGATTGGCAGCTACGGCACCGGCACTAAGAGGCTCCTCCCACAGCCCCTACGGAGGGTAAGGATCTCCCTCCCTCCTTCCCTCTCCTACCTATCCCCACCCCACCTCCACCCCCCCACCATCACTGCGTTCTTTTTCGGCAAGAAAAGAAAAGAAGAAAAAAAAGCTTCTGTCAGGACTGGGTCCGCTCCACGCCTCTCTCCCTCATCTTCTCCTCGCCCGTTTCCCTCCGTCTCTGCTCGTTGCCTGCCCACCTGTGCTTGTGTGTGTTTAGGTGTGTGACCTGCAGGTTGCTGGTTCTGTGTCCCTCATGCTGCCTTGCTCAGTGGTTCTGTGGCTGCTGGCTGTGCCTTTTGGTGGTTAGTGTTTGATGGTTGGTGGAGAAAAGTTCAGTCCGTGTTGTTCTGATGTTTCTGGTTAATGTGATGTGTGGGTCTGGAAAAGTGAGTCGAATTCTGACTGAATTTGTTTCTTTTCTTCTTCTTCTTCTTCCTGTTTAGGACTCCTACACGATGCCGCTCACCTCCATCCAGTGCTGGCATGTCCACTGTGAAGAATGCTGGCTCAGGACTCTGGTAAGAATAGACCTCACACACACACACACACACTTCTCAGCTGAGCTGCTCCCCAAAAGGCTTTTTAAGGTGTAGAAATAAAAGTCCAACCTCCACTGATTTCTGCACTGTGCCTCAGGTTCACACACACACAGTCTAACACAGTGGTTGGTTATTAGCTAGTCTAATGCTTTCAGCAGTGGGTAATTAGCTGGTGCTAATGTGGTAAATGGAGCGTGGAGTAAAAACACTGTTCCTCCCGGGAGGATAAACAGACTCTTCATTGGCTGCTCGTCATATTTACTCTCTTCTAATTCCCTGCGTCCTGTTTCCCAAACCTCTTTGTCTTTGTTGAACATCAGTCTGTGATGCAGACGTTTATAATCCTGATATTTAAAGGTATTTGGGATTTTAATGTTCAAATGTCCAGCTTTCCCGGTTAAAACATCCTGAAAAAGTTAAATCAGTTTCAAGTCTCAAGGATACTTGAGAATAATTGTAGAGATTGATTAACAATCTGTTCAATAGAATAATGACATGAATCATTGTGTCACATTATGGATCAGTCTGTTTAACCCTTCTTACCTGAGGCCCAGTGTTTCCACCTCTGGTATTAACCGGCGTTCCTCTCCTTGGTGCTCACGTACGCCGCTGCCGTCACCGAACCCACAGCCTGGAGACAGCTGTAAAAATGGGATGGTCGGCCCGTTCAAAGTAAATGCCCTGGGACCCTTGCTGCTTTAATGAGCCAGGCAGCTGGAGCGCAGCGTGACGGGCACACACCCACGCACACTTACCCACCGCACTACACAGGAGAACACAACGTCAACAGATGTGTGAACAAACAGGATGGGGGGGGACAAGGAACAAGTCAGCATTTTAGCTTCAAAAAGCCAAGGACAAGTAAAAGGAAAATTATTATTAGCAAATAATCAACTGGCACGAAAATATGGACTAAAGATAAGAGTCAAGGAACAACAACAACTCAGCCAAGAGAGATAAGACCTGGTATTTGCTTGAAAATACTTCATTCCTATACGCAATTATGGCACGGAATGGAGTTAGCATTCGATGGATAAAGGTCAGTCTGAGAGTCCGAAATTCAATTCCAAACTAAAATATCTAAGTTGAGACGTTGGAAGGAAATAATTATCTGAGAAATAGATTTAGAGAAGAAAAAGGTGGCCAAGAAAAGGTGGAGGAGGGTGGAGGAGACCACCCAGTCAGAGCGCCCTCACAGCGTCAGCACATTATCACCTGCTGCTTTACTGCAGATGGAGAACTATCAGAGGAGGGAGTTCAGAGATGTGGATCACACTGATGTCAAACCCAACTGTGAACCTAACAGTGTTCACCCCCTCGCCCCCCCTC